GTGTGTGTGTGTGTATGTGTTTGTATGTATGTGAGTGAATTAACAAGAGCGCCTCTTTTATAGATTCAAACCCTCCGTGCAGCAGCAACAGCTCACTACGCTTTCCATCATCTTCCTCGTCGTCCAACAATAATAACAACGTTGCTGCTGCTGCTACCGCCGGTGCCGCTGCTGTCGCCGCTGCCGCCGCCGCTGCTGCCGCCGCATCGGCCGTGTCCTCAGCTGACCTTAGACGCAATCATTTCGTCGCAGATATACTCACAAGTAAGCATTTTGCTTTTCCGGCTATCCCGATTATGCTTTACCGCGGCCCGGCATTCTGATTATTGCCTGACCGGCACAATGCTACTACTTTTTACTGGTCCCGAATGCTTCACTGCAACGCAGGCACAGTTCTGACCACGGTCACTGATAAGTCTCCTTGAGCAAGTTGCCTTTTTCGCATAAAACAGTAAAGGATCGATTCTGTGGGTTCGCGACAATTCGGGTCCAAAAATAAATAGAAAATAAACCCGCCATCAGGTTATTTGTAAGCAGACTCTCGAAAGAGGAGTTCATCGATGACCTTGCCAGCGGACATTTGCTTCCGAATGGCTCTGCCCCTCATGACGAGTAGATATGGAGTGCCTTTTCACTTCTGAATTACAATAAAGCTGGTGATTATGCAGATTAAGTGGAGAATGGTGAACCCGTGTGCGATGTCCACTCTTAAGTTTGACCGCTCCGTTCAGAATCATCAGTTAAATTTTATACTAATGTTGTCATCGCAGTGCCCCTCCCCTCCTCCTCCACCGTTCCGCGGCTCTTGTGGTCGTAATCGCTACACTAGTAGTCCCGGGTAGTCCCGGCGGTCAGCGTGCGTGTTTGAGCGTTGTTGGCCCTGTTTGGTGAAGTTTTTTGAAAAGAGAGGGCTAATTGTGTCATAAAAAAAAAAAAAACAACCGAATCCGCTGGTCAGGCATCACTGTTTTTCAACTGTTGCTGCTGCTGCAGTGAGTGGCCGCATGTCAAATGGTGCTAGTAGCCGTCCACTGGTGGCGCTGCTTGATGGTCGCGACTGTTCCATTGAAATGCCAATCCTAAAAGATGTTGCAACGGTAGCGTTTTGTGATGCGCAGTCTACTCATGAAATCCATGAAAAGGTTAGGTCCTCTTGCATTTCATTATTTATAATTGTTGATTTTTGCCTTTTACTTCCCACATATTTCGGTTGACAGCACCTTGGTGATGATTGGTGCGGGGGGGG